GTGTCCTTAAGAAGTCAACATTTGCCAGCAGTCAGCATGCAGAGGTAGCTGAGGTACCATCCCTTTGAAGAGGGATGTTTGGTGGTAGATGAAGGGATGAGTAGTGGTGAAAGGCTGGCTCAAAGAAGAGCAATCTTAGGGGGGACTTGATGGAGGAGTGTCATTGGGGGGTCTTGTTTGATCAGGGAGCCTCTTTCAGGTCGCAGCAGACAGCATGAAAAAATGAATAGCTGGCAGAGCACGGAGGAGGAGGAGGAGGAGGTGCAGACAGAAAGCAAAGCAGAGATGTAGGCGGTGCAGAGCCTGGAATGAGGATACTGATAACCCCTCCACTTCCCCCAGCCAACTCCTTGGTTTGAAGCTTTATTAAATTAAGCTAGGAGCTACCCAGAACCCTGGGGATTTTTCTTCCAAACCATCTGAACTGGAAGCAGGAATCCTTTGAAGCCCACTGCCTAGGGAGGGTATGACATGCTAAATAGTTGGTGTTTTGTGTGAGGCTTAGTCTCTGAAACCCCTAAAGGGGAAAAACTTGCAGCAGAGAAGTGAAAGCAATCTTCTTCTCGCCCATATCCCCCGCTCCCTTATCACTCAGATAATTTACCCTTATCCTCTAGAAAAGAGAAAAAGGGATTTGTATGGCCCAGAAATTTAAAAAACAACCATACCTAGAGTGCCCCAGATTCTCTCCCACAAAAAAAAAAGCGCATAGTGGAAAATCCTTTCCATGTAGAACACTGTGGTCACTTCCTACTATATCACTGTTGTTGCTATCTGTTAGATACATAACTGAGAAATCACTTGTCTCCATCATCATAATTCAGTGTAGGGGGTCAAACCCTGAATTCCTTGCTCATTTTGTCACCTCAATCCTTGCTCAGGCAAAACTTCCAGTGACATCAATAACGTGGTAAAACCCAAGGATTCCTAAATAATGTTGCACAGTTGGCTAAACTCTTTGGGATCCCTTGGGAATCTGAAGAAGTGGGTTCTTTACCCATGAAAGCTTTTGCCCAAATAAATCTGTTGGTCTTTAAGGTGCCACTGGACTCCTCATTGTTTTTGTGGATACAGACTAACATGGCTACCCCTCTGATATTTGGGGTGAGAGTAAGACATCGTCAGAAATGAGAAATTTCATGCTGATTGGGGCAATGTACTGAGGTGAAAACTAGCAGTGTCCCTACCTCACATTCCAGAATTTCACTGTGTGGACTAATTGTGCAATTTTATTCTCACACACACACACTACACGTGCATAGACACACACACAATACATTTGAAACTAATAAACAGTCTGTCTTAAATGTTCTTAACATTCACGCTGGAGATTGGCTGCAGCAAAGAAACAAGGCTGGATCATGGACCAGTGTCTTATTAGCAGCTTGTTCTATACTGCCAAAGTGAGAAATAGAGCTGCACTGAAGCAAGAAAACAATGCCAGCATGAGATTCTGCTGACGACTGACCACCCAATGTCCTCTCTTTTGTTTGAGATTTCACCATAATGACCAGATGGAATTATTTGTTCATAACTCCACATATTCTGCATAAGCGGTGTTCCGTGCTTCATGTCATTACACTACTTACATTCATGCAGGATGAATCTCAATATTTTAATTTCCTTATAATGGGATTTTAGAATTCGGCTGCATCATTTTCGATTTATCAAAAATCAGATCAGTAGGAGCAGGCTGGCAACCCTAAAAGATCCACCCTTTTAGATGTTCACAAATCCCTTTTATGCATTAATAATACTTTGCTCTCCTATAAACCTTTTGTACAACATTCATGAATTAAGCCTCACAAGCCACCCTGTGTGGTTGAGAAATGTTATTGCCATTGTATGGATGGGCCATATTATATGGGGAAACCGAGCCACTGCGAGGTTGAATTGCTTGTCCAAAACCAAGTTAAGTTAGTAACAGTTCAGAATAGAATGTAGGTCTGCTCGCTTTGTCCAGTGTCTCAGCCACAAAACAGTCTTTCTCCCTAAACCTCCATTCAATTTTTTTGTCCAGCAGCTGAAGGGAAATGTGAAGCATCCTTGTGGAAAATAAGCTTTTTGAAACCTTGACTGCAAGCTACATGACAGTTGTCAGCTAGGCTGCCCATGTGTGGTTAAGGGGAATGAAATTTAAAGGACCTTCTGTTTCTATGCACAAAGGTCTCTACCAGTTCACCTACACAGAAGAATCTGCGTCAGCTGCCAGTATTCATTTTTTCTTCCTTTGTGGGTTTCCAGCCTGGAAGAGGGACAGAAGTCTGATTCTATCCAGCAGGGGCAGTGATGACATAAACACTAGCCAATATAATAGAAAGCATTAGTGCAATTGCTATCTAAATTATCCAGGTTTCAGAGGAACAGCCGTGTTAGTCTGTATTCGCAAAAAGAAAAGGAGTACTTGTGGCACCTTAGAGACTAACCAATTTATTTGAGCATGAGCTTTCGTGAGCTACAGCTCACTTCATCAGATGTATACCGTGGAAACTGCAGCAGACTTTATATACACACAGAGAATATGAAACAATACCTCCTCCCACCCCACTGTCCTGCTGGTAACACCAGTTCCTGTTCTGCTCCTTTTTCTGCATTAACTGCTAGGGCTCGGAGTTGTTCCTAAGACGAGGAGAATCAATCACGTGATACAAACAGTCTGTTTTTAATTTTGAATATTCCAACGTTATCTGGAAATAGCAGATTATTTAAAGAGGAGACTAGAGCAATTCAGTTTAAGCAAACCAAAGAGGTTACACTGCACCCCAGCGACCTGTGGGGGTGATCTTGTCAGATCTGCCAAAATAAGCGGGGTTGAAATGGTATAAGAGACCACTAGTGAGAACCCCTATGTTGCAAGATGTGCTCTCAGTGATTCAATAGAGATGGCATTTCTCCTTGGTGAGTCAGTACTGAACCAGTATTCTGGAGAGGTGCTAGGGAGTGCCATCCTAACAGGGGTGCCGTCTTCCAGAGGACTCAAGTTTCTGGTCATGTGCTGTTGTAAAATAAATAATCTGAGGGAGAAGTTTAGCAAACAGAGTCAATCTGTGGAACTCTTTGCCAGAGGATGTTGTGAAGGCCAAGACTATAACAGGGTTCAAAAAAGAACTAGATAAATTCATGGAGGATAGGTCCATCAATGGCTATTAGCCACGATGGGCAGGGATGGTGTCCCTAGCCTCTGTTTGCCAGAAGCTGGGAATGGGTGACAGGATGGATCACTTGACGATTACCTGTTCTGTTCATTCCCTCTGGGGAACCTGGCACAGAAGACAGGATACTGGGCTAGATGGACCTTTGATCTGACCAATGTGGCCATTCTTATGTTCTTAAGAGAGTTTTAGCTCTGAGATGCTGACTAATCAAATGTCTCCTCACTTACGTTCTTCCTCTGACTTCACCTAGTACCAGGTTTGCTTCTTGTCCTAAATTAGAATCTGGGGTTGTTACATTCTGCTTTGCAGTTGCTCTGTTTCATCCTTGCATGTCAATGCTGGGCTATTTTGGGGCCAAATCTTGAGGCCCTTGCTTTGGGACAGAAGCCATGTGTGAGTGTGCAGCGTTGGAGGATGGGTACATGGAGTCTTTCTTTGCCTCCCACCTGCTCCCCTGCACAGTGAGCCGTTCCTGTTGGACTGAAGAGCACAGGCGCTATTCCAAGCTAATGCTGCTTGTGATGATAGCCTTCTCGAAGGGGTTGTGATGAGAGGGCCATGGCTATGCACGGGTAATAGAGGGGTTCATGCTGCACCCTTTCAAATGGTGGTGGAGCTGCTCTCTGTGTGTGCTCCTGCAGAGCCCATGGAGGAATTCTGGCTGAGTCAACAAAAAATCCTTCAGCGGCTTTTCTTGCAGAATGGAGTTTCCTGAGCCCACATAATTTGGACCTTGGCTTATAGCCGCGATCTGCTTTTCAGTCCCTACTCAGGCAAAGCTTCCACTGAAGTGGAGAAAGGTTCCTAGGTATGGCCCACAACTGGAATAATAAGGCCTCAATCCTGCACAGATTTAGACACATGCTTAACTTTACACGCACTGAATAGTTCCTGAAATCAAAGGAGTTACTCATAGTTCATAAAGTTAAGCATGGGTGGCAGGATCAAGGCTTAGGTTTGTAAACTATGTTGGTTCAACATTTTTCTTCCATTTATTGCTCTTTACCATTGACAGGTAGCAACATGGCTCAGATTGTACCAAACGGAAGTAATTTAGGTATTAAAACCAGCTGGTTACATTGTTTAGCAGAGGAACTAAATTGATGATCAGCTTTTGAAGCATCAAGTGAGATGTAACAGAAAGGATAATGTGTAATTATTTTTTCTCTGTTGTATTTGAATGCGTATATGTCTTCTGTCTTTGTTATTTATCTGCCAGTTTGATTTTTAATTATTTGTTCTGGAGATAATGAGCGATTGTGCTGTATTTATAGAAAATTCCTGAGCTGTGATATTATCCGCTTCTGTGCTGTCTTTCTGCAAACATGGGTAGGTTGGCGATTAATTATCACTAAAAATATTAATTAAATTTCAAGAGGTAACGAATAACAAATAGGACTGAAATTTACAAGACTAGCATTTTGATTTAAAATCCAAATATCTACTTAGTTACTCATTTCAAGGCCCTGGTGAGAGGTGACTATAGACATCGACAAGGCATAAAAGCTCAGAACCTTTATCGCTATCGATCAATAAATTAATGATGTATCTCTGCTTCCCCTCCCCAAGGAGTTCCTCTCGGTCAGGTTTTTCTATCTTTGAGTCTGTCGGCATTGGGTTATGCCGTGATTATGGTGCCCGGTGCTAGGGGGAAAGCACAGAACTAGCATACACTTGCACAACTATTTTATCTTATGCTCTTCTGTTCTTTTTTTTTTTTTAAGGAAAATTTATTGAAGGCAGAAGCCCTCTGCTTTTCAATCAAACCACCAGTGAGTCCTAAAATCCTGGATATTTTTATTATTTCTTGAGTGATCCTTCTCTCTCTCTCGTTTGGTTTCACAGACAGTGAAATTATTCCTCCCGACTGCCTGCGTCCGAGATCTTTCACTGCAATTCGCCGGCCCTCGCTGCGCAGGGAGACAGAGGATACCCGGCTCTCCGTGAGCCTCTGCGACCTCAACCTCCAGGAAGAGAACTTCCATGTGCTGGCCACCATGTGTCCCATCCCTCAGAACTCCCTCAATTCTCAGCATTCCCATCTCTTCCCATCCCAGCTCGAAAGTGACCTCCGCTTCCACCAGCTCAGGGGAGCCCATATCAAAATCCTGGATGACCAAACTGTGGCCCGGCTGGAACACGCCCGGGAAGAGAGGACTTTGGTTTTCACCAGCAGACCACTTAGAATCAATGAAACCATTTTTGTCAAAATTAACAAATCAAATGCCTCCCGTTCCGGCACATTGTCATACGGAGTGACCTCTTGTGACCCTAGCACTCTGAGGCCCAGTGACCTGCCTTATAACCCAGAATCACTGGTTGACAGGAAGGAATTCTGGGCAGTCTGTAGAATCTTGGTGCCCCTCCAGAGTGGAGACATCTTGGGGTTTATGGTGAACTCGGAAGGCGAACTGCATTTGAGCCATAATGGTACCAGCGCCGGCATGCAGGTCTGCGTGGACTGTTCCCAGCCCCTCTGGATGTTCTTTGGTTTACATGGAGCAGTTATGCAAATTCGAGTATTGGGTATGTTTGTCTATATTTTAAAATTTCACGTGAAAAATTTTGAGGAGGTCTGATTTGTGGGGAGGGGAATTGAATTAACATATTAGAAGGCAATCAGTTTACTTTAGGCCACATACACAAAAAGTATTACACCAACACTGCCCCCCCTCCAAAAAAAAAACAAAACAACCAAAGACCTCTGTAGTATTGTGAACCTACACCCAAGAATGCTGAGTTAGAATACTGTACTTTGCATTTTTATAGCACCTTTCACATAAAGGTCTCCAAGCTCTTTGCAAATACAAACAAATTCATCCTCATAATCTCCTGGTGAAATAGGGAAGTGTAATCCTTTTGCATATAGAGAAAAGGGGTGTCATGGTTTGCCCTAGCTCCTGCAGAAAATCTATGGCAGAGCCTGTTCCTATGCATTAACCACAAGACTAAACAGTCACCTGAGAAAGTCCTCCTGAATCCCTCGTGTTAGATTATGCAAAGAAGCCACAGTGAAATGTACTGTTTCATGCTCCCATCTGAGTGCAAGGCAGAAATCCAACAAACAATGAGATGTTTACGACCCATTCTGTTTTAATTAGGCAAGCGTAAGTGATGCAGGTAGGTAAATCTTTTAAAATAGATGATCTTTATCTCAAGAGGTTTCAGAGTAGCAGCCGCGTTAGTCTGTATTCCCAAAAAGAAAAGGAGTACTTATGGCACCTTAGAGACTAACCAATTTATTTGAGCACAAGCTTTCGTGCATCCGATGAAGTGAGCTGCAGCTCACGGAAGCTTATGCTCAAATTAAATTCGTTAGTCTCTAAGGTGCCACAAGTCCTCCTTTTCTTTTTATCTCAACAGTGTCCCTTTAACTGGAATGTTTCTAGCTGGAAAGTGTAGAACAAACACTGAAGGCATGAAAATGGAAGTCTACATGCAAAAAATGCTTGTGCGCTCACCTTTGCTTGTACACACTTACATTTGTGTGTGCAGGTATCTGCTGTGTGCCGGCACAAGCGCTGTTGCTTGTGCAAGCTGCCGTCTTTATCTTAGCTTTGAAACTGGACCAAGTCCTGGTCCTGCTGATGTCAGTGTCAAAACTTGCAGTGAGGTCTGTGCGAGCAAGATCTGGCCCTCAGAGAGCAGTTTCTTTTTAGTTTATATCCAATATGTAAATAACAAGGGGGTCATTTGCTAACAGTACATGCAAGATATTTCGTTAGGGGCTAATCTGCAATGAAAACGTACATCAGCATAGCTACATCTCTCAGAGGGGTGAAAAATCCATACCCCCCAAGAGACAGAGCTATGCCAGCCTAACCCCCTGGGCAGACAATGCTGTGTTGACAGAATAATTCTGCCACTTCTCAGGGAGGTGGATTAACCCCCCCCATCACTGTGGGGATTGTCTACGCTGAAGTGCAACAGTGTCACAGCTGCAGCATTTAACGTGTAGAGATAACCTAGGAAAGCACTTGAGCCTCAGCCTTAGCTAAAGGGAGGCTGTCCTGTAGTGCTGGACCCGGACGTTAGAAGTTTCACCATATTAGGCAAAAACAATGGCAATACGCTGATAATTTATATACTCCGTAAAGGATTTACAAATAGGTGTTAATTAAAATCCTCTAATGAGTGTCACTTTTGCCATGGAGGGAGAAGCAGCAGTTTAAGGCTGTGCAGGAACTTGGCTTTGAAAAGTCATTTGGCTGAATTTCTTCCAAATTTCTGGTACATGATGTCAACCAAAGAATTTTTCAAATCCCTGTTTGAAGCTGAATGGTTGAAAGATGCTGCTCCCTCTGTGCGCTACTTGCAGCCTGGGTAGCCTGGCTACTCGTTCACTACCATGGCTAGTTCATGATACTCCCCGCTCCAGCACGGAGCTGTGAAATTGAGAAGACAGCCAACAGCCGATGTAGGTACCTGCAGAGTCTACACGGACACTGCCTCACGCGAACTACACCAACACAAGCCCTACACCTCTCGTGGAGGTGGAGTAATGTCATGTCGGTGTAGTGGGGGCACTTACATGGGAGGGAGCAAGGCTGTAGTGTGTACACTGACATAATTAGGTCGACGTAAACTGCCTTATGTCAACCTAACTCTGTAGCGTAGACCAAGCCTCAGAGACAGACAGCCGGACCGTCTCCTACTTCTTTTTACTGTCTGTGCTCTTCCACTCCACTTCCCAATGTCGTGTCAGCCCTCCTGCTCAGGTATGAATTTAGGAACCCTGGCAGATTGCAGACCTGCAATGTGCCTATAAGTCCCTATGGGAAGTTACATCTCTCTTCACTCTTCCAAGGTGCATTTTAAGGGAAAATATGATTATCATAATGCATGATAGGTTGGCTAGATACTGGTGATCTTGCAAGCTCATATCTACATCTCAAGTGAATCATGCATTTAGAATGTGCTCCTTGCTGTAGTATCTTAGTCCCAGTATAAGCATGACCGATTTCACAGTAAGAAAGTTAATCTTTCTGCAGTGCATTACTTCACTTTTAGGAACAGATTTTTTAAAAAAAGTTAGGCTTGCAATTAGATGCCTACTTTGGGCACACAATGACCGGACTGCACATGCAAATAGCTAATTAATGGGATTTGTCGGTGTAATTTAGATGATTTAGTTGGTGTTGGTCCTGCTGGGAGCAGGGGGTTGGACTAGATGACCTCCTGAGGTCTCTTCCAACCCTAAGATTCAATGATTCTATGATAATTACTTAATTTGAAAATATGGCCCTTGGTTTTTTAAAGGCCCACTACAAAAATAATCTCTCCATTGAACAGAAAAAACAAATTCTTTTTGGAAAAGCTAGTGGCTAAACTCTCCTCTTAGGAAATGGGCATAAGCCCCTTGCACGATGATTTGGGGTGAAGCTGCCCACCTGTCTGCAAGGCTTTCTTGCATGATATGGTTTGATTATAGTGACTTATTAGCAATGTAATAGGAGAAGAAAGACCTTAAGTGATCTGTTTAAGACTTATGAACCCTAGGCATAAGTTTTTATTACTAACATCCTGCTGCAATTAAAATACTCAAGCATAACAAATGTGACACTATCATTTATTGCTTTAACCACTATTCATCTTCTAATAGCCACTGGGATCCAATTTGGTTACCATTCCTGTGCTGTTCAGAGACCCTGGCTGGTTTTTTTTTTCCAGCTAGCACATCATTCTGATAATGGTAGATCAAGCCAAAGAGACCTGGGTGGGGAATAAAGAGGATTAAATGATACTATACTTGAGAAGGAAGGTCCCATCTGGCCTGGTAGGCACAGGAAAGAATAGAACCATCAGGCTGCCACCATGCCACAGTTTACTTTGATACCAGATCACCCGTTCTGCCAGCTGTATCATGAGCACACACGGGAACTGTCTCCTGAATTCGGTTGTACGAGGACAAGCTAGAATTTTTGTAAAGTGCAGTGTAAGTGAGGGGAGTTGTTGGCATTAATCTAATGTCCCCAAAGGAAGGATAAGGATCCCTCTGCTGGTACATCTATTGTAATGCTGGCTAGACAGTAACTAACATCATCCAGTACAATGTTAGGACATTTGCACTACCTACGTTATAAGACACATGTCTAAACCATAAATGTAACTTTGCAGCCTTAGGTTGGATTGTTATAAAATGTCAGTCTTTTTAACACAGTTGGGCTGTTTATACAGAGCAGTTGTCAGACTCTCACCAATACTAGCTGCTTCATGATACTCTAGTCACAGGATCGGTCATGCGGATCGATCATTTCCAGGCCTTGGGATGAACTAGATGACCTAATAGAGTATTCCTATCTCTACTCAAGGGTTCTCAAACTGGGGGTCGGGACCCCTCTGGGGGTTGTGAGGTTATTACGGGCGGGAGGGGGGGGGAGGTTGCGAGCTGTCAGCTTCCACCCCAAACCACGCTTTGCCTCCAGCATTTATAATGGCATTCAATATATTTTAAACTGTTTTTAATTTATAAGGGGGGTCGCACTCAGAGGCTTGCTATGTGAAAGGGGTCACCAGTACAAAAGTTTGAGAACCACTGCTCTAGGTTCTATGATGCCATAGTGAATCTGAAGCATAAGAAATGTCATTTATATCCATCTTCTCTGGCAGTGAATGGGAAACATGTAAAAGCTCTATTAAAACAACAAGAAATGAAGATACAAACAGTGCAAAAGGCACCATTATGGTTGCTTGTTCTAGCGCAGCAATTATGAAGCAGATTTAAATCTCTTCCTAGGGGTATCACTCAAGCCCTTATTAAAATAAGTAAAGCCACCACTCTGAATTAAAGGAACAAAGAGCTGAGCCGTTAGCTCCCAAAGCCAGGAATTTAAAGTCAAGGTGTTGGGTTCTCTCCAGCCTTTCTGCTTTTTCTGCAATACAGATAAAATTATTCCTGGCCACTGGCAATGCCACTGCACAATTAGAAGAATTAAGAAAGGTGAATTAGAGGACTGGATGGCTCAGGAGACTGATTATTGGATACTGACTTTTCCACCTCTAGCTCAGCCATTTGGCTATGGCCAAGGATGATAACAAATGAAAGTCATTGCCATCTGATGGCTGTCTGGTGGCCTATAGTAGGTGCCATTACAGAGTCAACATTTACCAACAGTAGCTGCCCCACCAGTTTCAGAGATACCAGAGTTATTTCCTGGGCTAAGGATCGAGAAGTACTGTAGTATCACAGAAACAATTCCACATGGGTAAACCTTTGCACCTGCACAGAGCTCATTGTAAGATCAAGGCCTGAGATAGGACATTGCAGGGGCTGGTGCAATAAACAGGGGTGTGGTCTTCAGTCTTTATCAATCCAGTATAATTCACTAGAACTAATTTCGTCCTAGGAGAAGTAATAAAACAGAAAATTAAGATTAATTAATCTTTCAAGCAAGCAGAAAATAAATAAAACCCCAAGCACCATCGCAGTTGGGTGAGAGGCTGCAGGGATGTGCCGTGAAAGATATAAGGAGCTCAGAGTTCAAAGCAAAGGTGTAGAAGGCCACTGGATCACAATGTATAAGTAC